TTTCGACAGTTGAATTCATGAATCAATTAAAGCTAGACTAGCATGGAAAACCTGGAAGCACTGGACGGCCGTTTCATCCTAGTATGAGACTCCTCAGCAGTGCACATCCACGATCCCGCCTCACGAGACTCGAACCCATGATATAACAGTCTCGTGTGTGAGCGATTAACCACTAGACCAGCGAGCCAGCATCTGAAGATGTTAATATCTAACTACAACCAATCCACGAAGTTGGGCTATCATCCATCACTGCCGTCTCAGTGGTCTAGTGGTTAGGTGTTCGCTAGCGAGACCGACAGATCCTGGGTTCGAATCACACGAGCGAGATAGTGGGTGCGTACTGTTGAGTAGTCCCATACTAGGACGAAACGACAATCCAATGCTTGCAGGTTTTCCATGCTGGTCTAGCTTCAATTGACTGATAAATTCAACGATTAAATTACTAAAATCTTCACAAAACTTTTAACATTTAAAAAAAGGAGTTGATTATTTTTAAAAAGCGGACATGTAGAATACCAATAATAATTGACATTAGTTTACATCATAGACTGATATTAGTTAGAATGACAACTAGGATATATTAGCCGATTATTTCATTCTAAGCAGTATGAAACCATTCAACCATGTGCATGAATGACTACAGTCGAACCTTTTTTACAACTATTGTGTAGTCGAAGTCAGTTATCTATGATTACAGACCAAATAGCAACTCTACGAAACAATCAATTGAATGCAATTTACCACTCTATATCAACTTCATTGACTACGAGAAAGGATTTGATAGTGTGGACAGAAAAACACTATGGAGGCTTATCGACACTACGGCGTGCCTGAGAAGATAGTCAACATCATACGACATTCCTGTAATGGATTAAACTGCAAGATTCGTTCATGGAGGACAATTCACTGACTCATTCGAGGTAAAGACTGGTGTCAGGCAAGGTTGCTTACTCTCACCCTTTCTCTTTCTCCTGGTGATCGACTGAATCATGAAGACGTTAACATCTGGAGGAAAGCATAGGATACAATGGGCAGCTAGAATACAGCTGCACGATTTAGACTTCGCAGATGATCTGGTTCTTCTGTCACACACGTAACAACAAATGCAGGAGAAAACGACCAGTGTAGCAGTAGTCTCAGAAGCAGTAGGTCTCAATATAAACAAAGGGAAAAGCAAGACTCTCCGACACAATACAATATGCACCAATCAAATTACACTTGACGGAGAAGCTTTGGAAGATGTAAAAATCTTTACATATCTGGGCAGCATCATTGATGAACACGGTGGGTCTAATGCAGATGTGAGGGCGAGGATCGACAAAGCAAGAGCAGCATATTTACAACTGAAGAACATGTGGAACTCAAAACAACTGTTAACCAACACAAAGATCAGAATTTTCAATGCAAAAGTCAAGACAGCTCTATTGTACGGTGCGGAAACCTGGAGAACTACAATTATCACCAAGATTCTAATAAAACATCCTGGATTCAAACAATTGTAGTATTTCATACAAGTAATAATAATCAATTTCTTCATTACGGTATATCCAGAAGAATATGGAATACTTGGGAGATAAAGATTATAAAATAATTATAGTCAAGTGTATTTAAGAAATTCATCATCATATAGACAAGTCGAAATACAGTGATTTTTTTTTATACTGGAACATCAACTGATATTAATCTTACAGCTCATTGATGAACATAATAATCAGAAGGGGTTTTTGTGGAGATTTAGTATTTGCATAGTTGAAAGCATGTGTCACTTGAATCTAGACCACCAAGGAAAATCTGAGATAGGAACTCACTGAAGACAATTGGTGAACGGTTGCTCAACTTTGTGGATTTGTTGAAGTTAGAAATTAACACCATCGGATGCTGGCTCAGTCGTCTGTCGGTTAAGTGCTCCGGTGCGATATTGGTAGGTCCTGTGTTCGAATCTAGCGAGGCGAGGTCGTGGATGCGCACTGCCACTGAGAAGTCACATAATAGGACGAAACGGCCGTCAAGTGCTTCCAGGTTTTCCTTAGTAGTCTAGCTACAATTGACTCATGATTTCAACAATGCAAACATAATAATGTTAAACAAATAAGAATTATTGAAATATAAAGTACAGGTAAACTTTGAAGATCATGTGATATATACACTTCAATCAATCTGTTTCAGTCAATCGATCAAAAAAAACAAACTAGAAAATGTACATCGGTTCAAGTTGCCACAGTGTATCATTACAAAGAAATGAAATTATCAAAAATAAGTATTAGAATGGTGGAAGTAGTAATGGCATCAGTGATAGAAGAAAATAATGAGAATAAACAATATGATTTGAGATGATTTACAAAAGAGAAAGTTATTATAAGAAGAAGTTTTGTGGAGATTTAGTATTTTCATAGTTGCAAGTGTGAGTCAATTGAAGCTAGACCACCAAGGAAAACCTGGAAGCACTGGACGGTCGTTTCGTCCGATTGTGGGACTCCTCAGTGGCAGTGGAGCACTTAACCGATAGATCACTAGATCGGTATCCGATGGTGTTTACGTCTAACTCCAACCAATCCACGAAGTTGAGCAACCGTTCACCAATTGTCTTCAGTGAGTTCCAATCTCACAACAGACGTCGTTTGAACTCCATTGATCACTACTGAGGAGTCCCACAATAGTACGAAACGGCCGTCTAGTGCTTCCAGGTTTTTCTTGATGGTCTAGCTTCAACTGACTCACGCTTGCAACTATGAAAACAGAAAGTATTAGATCAGTTTAAAATTGAAGATCAAGGGGAAGATAAAAAAAAAGAAAACTTCTGTATCATTGTGAATAATTCTGAGCTATAATCACTCAACGTCTCCTGTTACGGGTTACCAAAATCGCCTGAATGTTAAACTGGTAGTCTGTACATACAAACATGGTTTCATCAAAAAGTCGATGATTTCATAGGATATTTTGCTTTGACTTCTTCCAAGGTAGGCAGGAGGTGGATGGATATATATATGTATAAAATGTTCCAAATATCTAATTCAATAAAGATTCACTACCTCATCAATTGATTTACCATATTTACTTAGTATCCTATGCTTACTTTAGTATTACTCACTGAGTATCAAAAACTTGCAACTTACGAACAACCTCTATTTCTAAAGATCATGTTTTATAGTTATAAAGAAGAGTGAAATAAACTACTGTACGGCATATTAATTCTTTGGTTAGTAAAAAAACATTTCGACTTGAGTAATCGTTATTTTATCAATAGTTCGCATACACTCATAATTAATGGCTTGAGGTCTAGCACACAAATAACTACGGTATATCAAAGTTAATTAACTAATTTATTTGAACACATAAATATTGGTACAAGGTGGCACCAGAAATATATACGCTACACAAGAAAATGTTATTTCATTTAATTGTGTGAGAGCTATTATTCGGCCCGGATGCCCAAACCGAAGCAGGTGGTTTACTTAAGGGGCCACACCCGGAGTATTTGATCTAAAGATCTGATCCACAAGGCAATCGAGCATCTTAAGGACATGCAGTCCCATGGTAGTCGTTCATCAACGATTGATTCATACACCATTTGTTCCCTCAGGATACTGGAGGCAGCCCATGTGCAACGTTGGTTTGGAATCAAGGTTTTCCAACTCCCCTAGGTAGACTATCCGTGTCCATTAACGAGGGTAAAGCGCCAGACATTTGTTTTTCGTTCTCTCAATTTCGTAAACAACACCCTAGGCGTGAGAAGGCAGTGAGTAAGACTTGTGTGGCAGAGGCTGTATACGCGTGGCTATGTGAGAGCACTTCGAGAGGAAGAGCGGACTCTCTCCATTCTCAGCCGTACCAGGGCATTTGGGGGCACATCACAGTTAAACACCTAATCGTTAAAATATAAACCCATTTATACCGTATATCCAAAAAAATCTTTACAATGTTGAACTTTCAGCATACTCCTTCATATCATTGTTCAATGTTTCACTTCACCATCGTCTGTTTTATTTGTTTGTGTTTACTTTATTTAATACAAATGCAAAATGGTGAATAAACCTTAAAGGAGATAGGGTGACTAGAATAAACCAACAACCGCCAAGAATACAAAAAGAAATAAACAAGATCATATTTCGTTGAAATGTTATTATAAATCAACCACTACCTAACAGCATGTGTTTGTGTATCACTTTACCTTTGGCTTTTCCAGTTGTTCAAGAATGGAAATAAAAGAGACTATAATTTGGGAACAAAACAATCAGATTTAAGATAACAGGTTTTGGTATGTAGTTTATTCATCCATATGGTTAAATAGCACTTCAGTATTATAGCTGATGTCAGATCGTGATGGAAAATATTAAATATAATTCCAAGCATTGTTGTTTACCTAAGTTCTAAATCCAAATCTTAATTCATCACACTAACTTATAACCTTAGTAAATAGATGGTCATTCTCAAGGTCATTTTGGATTTCCACAAAGGCTTTCCATCAGAAGTTTAATTCATTAGTGGATATATCAAGACTCAGTAGCTAAGTGTATAACGTGATGGCGTTTGAAGTGAAGGTACTAGGTTCGAGTCCTAGAGTGAACATCAACTCTAAGATGAAAGTACATCCAGCTGACTAGTCCCAAATAGGACGAAGTGCCGCGCGCCCTCGATTTCACTGCTAGCTACTATCCATCTTTGTTTACCATGCTTGAAAATTAAGGCTATATCTAGGCAATACTCACAGTATGTACATATGACAATTAGAGAATGACCAGTTGCAGTCCTAAAAACATCAATGGGAAGATTCAAACAAACAACATCAAGTGAATTTAAACTTCGCCATATTGCGAAAGCAAGTGGTTGTCAGGACTCAGTGTGTGGCTAAGTGGATAACGCGATGACGTTTGAAGCGAACTGTACTGGGTTCGAATCCTAAACTGAACATCAACTGCGAGATGCCGGTTCATCTAGCTGACGAGTGTGAAATAAATCACAAGAGAAAAGAAACTTATTTCTTCGGTTTTGTTTTCTCTTTTCTAATTGTATCTATGTTCATTTTAATCAACAATAAAGAACTAATAGAGTATAACTTAAACAACAACGACAACATAGAAAAAACATGGATTATGATTATATGGTATATTCAACAAATCAAACCAAATTACTTATGTTCATAAAGTTGGTAATGTAGCAAAGGGGAGGTTAATTAATAAGCGGTAGTAATTACAATAGTAACAATAATAGTAATATTCTTCGTGATATACATGAGTGTACACATGTATAAAAAAGTATTAGTGATTTCAATTTTTAAAAAAAGAACATACACAATTGATTAGCTCAATATTCATATACTACTGATATTCACCTTACATAGGTGTATGTATGGGAGAGGGGGAGAGAGAGGGATAAGGATGATCTTGTCTGTTTCGGTCAAAACAATACAAATAATGAAGATTTTAAGTAAAAAAAAAGGTATATTATTTTGGGGGTGGGGGTGGAGGAGGGAACCAAAAACAGGGTAATAAACAAGACAGAAAACGAGATAAATGTTGAAAAAGAAAAAAAAAACAACTATAGTGCCATATTCACTGTTCGACTTTTGCAACGAGAAAATAACAAACTCAATAATGTACATTGATTACTAATTTACATAATATACTGTACCCCATCATCCTGATTTCTCTTGAAGAGAACAATATAGAGAACAAATGATTAAAGCGAATCGTACAACTTGAACTATAAGTTTAAAAGTGATATAATAACTAGGTGGAAAAAAAGTATAACAAGAGTACGATTGAAATGTACAATGACAATATGAACCACCACCACCACCACCACCAAGGATCAATCGTTTTTATGAAAAAAAAACAATGGGGGAGATTAGAGATTAATTTTACATAAGTTCATGTAGAAGAGTTTGATGGAGAACGCTGTTGAGCGGTCTGAACTCCTCGACGAAGGATAACAGACGTAAGTAAGTGTACACACATACATAAATACAATAAAGAACCATCAGTTAATTATTACTACTAAACATCATTGAAATAAAATGTGAAATTACTTATATTACATAATGTTTTATAGAAACAATGATATTCAAAAAGATTTGAACATTTTAACTTGGGGGACATACACACTCACATATATATATGTGTGTATATGTCGATGTCCGAGCGGTATTCCCCCCCCCCGCCGAAATATCTAAATATGTGTAATGTAGGTGTATTCGAAAGTCTATGAATTATAACATCATCCAAGTAGAAATGCTACATGGTTTAATATGTATGTGTATTGTGTTATGATGTGGAATTTACAACAACAATCAATCAAAAAGGAACAACAGTAAATAAATGAAGTTTGTTAAAATAATAGTCGATATTTATGAAAGGTTAAGAACTTTTATTCAATCGACACCTTCAAATCCTTCAGCATTTTCAATAGCAATAATTAATTTACAACGTAACTCTTCAAATGTTGGATAGGCCGGCAAGTCTAAACGATTAAAACTGTGATATAAGAAAGAAAAAAAAGAGGGGCAAAAAGAAATGAGAAAACACATATACCATACAACATAATTAAACAAAAATGTCATGAAGACGTTATACATTATTTAAATGTTCCGATAATTAACCAACCACATTGCAACTTGATCAATAGTATTCGATCAGCAATAAGAAGGACTTGACACGCGTGACATTGATCACCACCCAGTGATCAATCAATTGTGGTTACATATCAGTCCTACAGGAAGTCGGTCGTAGCCCGAATAGCTCAGTGGTAACGTCTTTGACTGTGAAGCTGAGTGACACGGGATCGAATTCGTCAGAGAGCACCAGTTCTCTCAAGATTACAGGTACACTGTACTGACGAGTGCCAATTAGCACGAAGCCCGGGTCCAGGGTTTCCTGTTGACCACCTCAAATCACCATCTTACCAATTCAAACACTTGACGAACGCCTATACTGTTTGTGTGAAGGATGAACTGAGTGATACTATGGGATTGGTATCAATCTAACCCTAATAAAATGAAACTAGAATATACGATCTATTGTTTGTAAAGCAAAGTGGTCTAATCGCCACATTAATAGTTGTTTTATTAATTATATACACTGTTAAACCAATGAGGTTGTCGTTAGAAACAACAAGTGATAAATGATGAAATTAAGGATAGAGTACTGTAGGGGCAGAGATGACGAATCGGTCAATGAAACTGTTTAGACATGTGTCATCTAACTTGATTCCCCTTCACCTTTAACATACAATGTTGATTGAAGTATAAATGGGGTAGAAGGGAGACCAAACAAAAATGCAGCACCTGTCGATGAAAAAATTGACTGCTGGTTTGAGCCATGTTGGTATATGGAGACTACTTGGTTGACATCTATTCGATAACCACGGTCAGTGGTCAGAGATACCAAATGGGATGGTTCAGAATTGGTCACAATGGTATAGGTGTAGCATTCATTCTCCATCATCCCTAATAAAGCAAGGGTTCCAATACTCCTTCATAGATACCATTTCATTGTCATATGGAATCATATTCGTTATACATCATGTTAATTCTATATTAATTCTATATATATATATATGTTAATTCGAATATGATCTAATAGCTTGTATCAACACACACTTATGTCCCAGGTTCTATGACCGATATATTGATCAAAATACGAACGTTCACAAAAAAATGAAATCATTCGTTGGAGAGATATAATTACCGGAGTTAGTGCCTGATACATGTGTCATTCACATGATTAATGTCAGACAATACTTTTTCTGGTAATTGTCATTGTTACTTTATTGATCTATTTTCCTACATGTTGAAGTCACCCTTTAGAACGACAATATCCATGATCTTTAAGCCATATGCATCAAGATTAGTCATAGTTCTGCCGAAGATATGAGAAAGCTAAGGGGAACCAAAACGAAAACATGGCATCACCACATTGACTTCTGTTGTACAAAGGAGACCTTTTAGAAGAGTCAATCTTGAGTGCTGTTAGAGGTATGAGGGTGGTTATCACTTCCCGGTCGCTTACACTGTGGAAAGGTTCTTTTAGAGATGTCTGAAAAAATGGGTTAGAGTTGGTCTTAGTGACCTGAGAAAGTGACCGCAGTGGCCAAGAGACGACTGATTAAGGTTAGTTACAAACGACCGTTTCGTGTTGGCTCCATACTTGTTTAGACCTTACAGATGGAAACGGAAATCCGTGAGACAAGGCGAAGTGTGCATTTTAAGGTTCGATCTTTCTTAACCCCTTTCCTTGCTTTGTAGAAAGTCAGCATAGCTGTCATGCTGATTATCTGAGGGAAACACCTTACTGCCGTCACACCTCTGTACAGTAAGCAGTACGACTTCGCCCTTGGACCTTGGGTTTGCTAATTTTAGTTTTACCGCTCTTCAACATACCTCCCTGTTATGGTAAGACCTTGAGAAACGATTGTTCTAGCGAGTATAGCCTGATTGATTAACCGCAAGAGACAAGGCCAACCATCACGTCAAGGTAGATGAAACGGTCGGGCTTTTAGGAAAGATAAGGATCTGTAAGATTACACTCAAAATCCATTATTAGAGACTACGAATGACATAACTTGAAAATGATCACAATAGTGAATTCACATCATTATTTCATCTTTCTTTTGAAATTTAAGTTTAGTGGTATTCTATACTGCTTATCCATGAACCTCATTCGCTCTTTGTTATTTGTTATATTTGTTATGCTTGACCTCTCAGTGTAGTAGATATTGTGAGTTTCTTCTCCTCTGCTAGTCATCTTGTGAATAACCTCTGTCATGGTGTCCGTGCAAGATGCAATAATTTTGATGTGTAGATATTGTCGTATCCTACGTTAAACTAAAACTGGTATGAATCACAGAAAATTATGAGTCAACAGTGGGGTGTCATAATATATTCAAATAGCTAAAAAATTAAACAACATTTTCCATCGAAAAAAAAACACACACGTACCAAGTATGAGCACGAGGCAACTGATCCACAGAACCCCAACATTCAACAGTGAATTTCTGTGGTCCACTTGAACCCCATAATTCTGAAAAACCATTCATAGGTACACGTGACGTACCAGTGACAAATTGTAGTAGACGACTTCTTAATTCATTTGTAAATGTGTAGATAGCCTTTGAAATGAGAAAAGTAGGTGCAAGAGAAAAGGCATATAATTGTCAAGAAAGAATCAAGTGAATTTTAGATAGAATTTCAAACTAATACATAGCTGTTATCTATCGATGAGGAAACAAAAACTATTCGACCATGCATGGAGTCAAGTGGTTACCCTATCAACAGTACTACTACTACATGATGATTGCGCGATATCGCAAACTGACTGAAATGAGAAACATAAACTACTGGATGCTTACTTAAAGGTTCGAAGGTTAAGTCATCACTGAAAAATCCAAACGTCTATGGGTTTTATCACCAGGGACGTGACATGGATATCCACTATGAAGGATTCCATACTAAGACGAAATAGATACTCAGTGCTTTCAGGTTATTCAATAGTCATCTTGCTATAGTTATTCTGTGATATGAAATTCTTTCCAGAATCTAAAAGTATCACAAATACTCTTGTTCTCTGTATATAAACTAAACTTGGGAGTAAATATCCTTGAAGAGACTAGCAAGTAATCAAGAAATCAATGTCTAACGATTCGAGTACAAAAGATCAACCCAATATGTGTGAGGCAACATTTTGTATAAAAGAAAATAAGTCTAAATCCACACACGATTAATTGAGAATTAGTATGTGGGAAATTTGTGGAGACTGTAGAATTCGCATATCTTAAAACATTAAATAATCCCAGATAGATCACGGCAAAAAAAGCTAAAAGTACTGAAGAGATGTTTCGCCCTAGTATAGAACTCCACGACAGTTAGCGTCTACGACCGCGCATTCGGGAATCAAAACCATAAATTCCGCTTTACGCCCAAACGTTTAACCTCCAGACTCTTAAATTCGAAGATCTTGGTTCTGATCCTACGGATGGGATCGTAGATGCACGCAGCTGAGGAGTCATGTATTAGGACGAAATGACTATCCAGTGCTTACAGGTTTTTAATGGTGATCTACATAAGATCAATTCGTGATTTGAACTATGGAGATTGTTATGCTCTGATAAAAATAGTGAATGGTAAACTTGGCATCCATTTATGGACCATTATTATGCATATAATTTCTAGCGTATATTTGCTAAATTATTAAACTACTCATATTCATATTCCTTTCATTGTGAGCTTTATTTTGACGCTTGAACTATTATTATACGATTTACCATTCCTGAGTTATACCCAGTCCATCAGTTACTGCTCCCCTTATTCACAGTCACATTTGACTAACTCTTGTACAAATGTTATTTTCTATTTTATTGGTACGATGTGGTCTGTCTGTTTGGTATATAAACTCAGTATGTTTGAAATACAATGATTCATACCATAGAGGCTGTTATTGGTGTTTTAGACTTAATTGGCTGGGCTAGGCAGATCGCAGGACCGCTTAGCACTCTAGACTGCTCGAACGGTTTTCATGTGTGTCACTGTTCCAATCGATAGTTCGCTGCTTCCTGATTGGCGATCTTATCACTTCATAGATTAGCTAGGCATCCAGTCGGCCACAAGATAAAACAGTACACAAATGAACCTTTCAAGTAAAGTGCTTCTCGCATATTTTGTTCCTTTTCTCTTGTGTTTAAGTCGCTGTGTAGATTTAGCTTGAGGGTTACAAGGCTAGCTTAGGATCCGAATATAGCATTCAATCAACAAGAATTATCAAGAAGTACCACTAAAAGACCATTCAACCCACATGAAACAACAATTTCAAAATCATACTTTTGAAATGAATATCTTCTCTTCACAAACTCAATATTACGATATACTTTGCATTTTATTATTGGCTCGATGTAATATTCCAAACTTCAGATGGTTTTTCATTGGTAGTATCAATCTTATTCTATTCATCTGCTAAATGGAAGTATCATGGGTTTAATTGATACACTGAAATGTCAAGTCTATAGAAAATAGATAGAAATTGTTTCAATCTTATTTCTTTACAACGTAGGTGTCATTGAATACTTCATAGAAGTGAAATAACAATTTAAGTATTTAAAAGAAGGTCTAGAACAGAGTGGGTTGGAAAAAGCTGGTCGGCGGCCTATGCTCCATTGGGAGTGGCAGGCTCTCGGATTAGCCGTCTTATCACGCCATACATTAACTAGACAATCACTTGGCCACAAGATATAACAGAGATGATTGAGAATACTGAAAATACAAACCACCACCACCACCACAACAACAACAACCCATACTAATGATGATGAGGATGATGTAAACAGTTATTCTTACCTTCCATAAATTGACAATAACTGGATGATTAGCATGATATTCCCCTTTATATAATGTATTCGCTTTCCAATCGGTTACACTTATATCTTGTAATCCACACATTAATAATTCTAATTCATTGGCATCAAATATTTGTAATGCTTCTAATGGGATTAAATCACTAAAACCTTCTAAAAAGGCACACATTTGTTTTTCAACACGTGAAACAAATCTCCAATTAATTATTCGTCTAGAAAATAATAAATAAACAAACAAAAGAAAAGAATGATTACATATAAATATTGAATATGCTGAGATGATTAACGGGTAAGCCCATAATCATTAAAATGATGGGGGGGGGCTAGCAACCGTAATCTATCCATTTCTCAATAGCATTCATTCGTACCTCGATAATTAAGAACTGGCTGACTGAGAAAGAATTATTAGTATCCAAGTATTGAAGACTCTGGGTTCGATTTCTAAATTCAAGGTCGCATATCAGTCAGTCAGTCAGTTACAACGTAGAACTTCGTACGTACGTACATCAGTTCGAGTTGCCGTACCACATTAGCACAGAGATGCAGCTGTCGATTCAAATCCCATATTGGTAGAAGTAGTAAAAGTATAAGTATTATGTGAAAGATAAGCGTTTGAAGATGTTATTGAAAGAGTATAATTCAGTGAAACAAATTTGTAAAGAGAAGAAGGATAGGTGCATGTGGAATTCAGAAGATTAGAATTTGGTAGAGCACAAAGAGTGGATGCATCTTCGCCATTGCAAACGATTTTGACCCATGTCATTCAAGGTCTCTAACCATCGGTTGCTATCATCTCGTGAATCCCAACCAGGTAGTCTACACCTACCAACATGGCCCAGTCCACTTGTCAGTGACTTCATGGATTTATGCCACATTTTGGTCTGGTCGCCCCTAGCTTTCTTCCAACCTACTCCTACACCATAAAACATTGCACGTCGGGGCAGTCGGTGGTCGGGCATACGTAACACATGTCCCATCCATCTCAACTGATGAAGTTTCACTACTTCATCAATGGATTTGCCATCCTTACCTAGTACCCGTTCCCTAACAAGTCGTATATGAGAACTTCGAATTAGTACAAAACGATTATCCAGTACTTCCAGGTTTTAAATGGTGCTCAAACATTGACCGGTTCATAACCTCAACAAAAAATTAAAAAATTTTCACAATCATATGTTATATATTGAACTTAAATTCTTAGTATGTGGAGTAACACTTGAGCACTCGAACCTTAGAACCCTCTCAAGTCGCAAAAGGAGATGATAAAAGACAAGTAAGTAGGAATGTTATCCCCCAGTGTCAAATATAGCACAAAAATTGGCGAGACTATAATTTATGGACGAGCCAATCAGAAGTGTTTGAGGGATTTTCAAGGTCACGGATCCAATTTCGGTGCCTGATACTCATGTACGATCAGCTTACAGAGAATTTTAGAGAAGACTTGACAATTAAGCGGCTGCAACAAATGAGACTACTAAGAAGTTTCTTTATTTGTGATTGCGGTAATTAAGTGACTTGTAGACGTTGTGCAGACAAACCGTGATGTTGTCCTTCGATGTAACATATGTTGAAGGAAGACGTTTGCTAGAATAGGAAACTTTATCGCTCGATCCAGATTGAGACTAAGGCATATTATAATAATTGCCGTCAACTGTATAATAAAAGCACCAGTAACATTGGCTGCAATAATCGCAGATGTTACTGAAGTTTCAGCTGTTCAGCGGTATGAGCGTTGTGGGGACATATCCATAATAAAAATGATAAACTTACACAACCGGAGTACACACAAACAATGATCAAGCTATGTGGTCGAGGCTGAAAGGGTTTTCGTGAAATTATTATGGCTCCAGAGATCGACTATTATGGAGCCATATGGATGAGTTTCTCTACCTTATGCATTACGACTTCGGAACACTTTGAACCTCTTTCTAACCCTGACAAGTTTTTAGACCATATAAAAGAAGTGTATCCACTTTAATTCTTTGGTTTTGTATCATATATTTTGACTCTATGCTGACTGTTTACTGATTGACTAACATTTTCCAAGGTCATTTAAGATTCGTTCACAGGTCGTCCATAAATTATAGTCTCGCTCAAAAATCGCATGTATTTATAGTATTTAGCTGAAAGTAAATCAAAATTTCGGATAGCCAATAGGTATATAGGGGGACTTTCTTATTCATCCAATAGGAGAGTTATACGTCGACATTCTAGAATATTCCTCTAGTGGTGATTGAATAGAATGTCATCGGCTCTTTCTGAGCTTCTTGAAGCTTACTTGAGTTTGCCAATCATATACTGATATTGATTCCTATTTTCAACAACAACAACAAAAAGGGGGAGGGGGGAGGGGTCGAAGGGTAATAATACTTACTCAATATATTGTGTTTTATTATTATTAGTAACACGTATATTTCTACCATCTTTAATTAAATCCACTTCAACAGTTTCACCAAAATGTTCTTCTTCAACAGACATTGTTAAATCTAATGATATAGGATCTTCTTTTAAAATATATTTTAAACTACGATAATATTCTGAATCCACAGATTCCATATCTTTTAATGAAATAGTTTTACCAAGCATCATTTTATAAAATGGTCTAATAAAAAAACCATCAACTAATTTTCCATGATATACAGCCATACCAACAACTCGACCAATAAATTTAAAATATTTTAAATGTTCTTCATTTGCCATACCAGATAATGGATTAATTTGTAGAGTATAATTATCACTTGAATAATGGAAAAGAAAAAAAAAGAAAAAAAGGAAGAACAAATGAAGACGAGAAATTGCGGTGGAAAATTTTGTAGGTTATATCAAGAGAGACACAGTCAGTCAGCTACAACGTAAGACCAAGCACATATATATGCATCGGTCATACCTCACTCATTAGCATAAGATGAACACTTGCTGGGACCTTACCGCCGGAGACGGATATCCGTAGGATAAGGTGAGGTGTGCATTTTTAGGGTCGACCTTTTCTAACCCCACCCCTCCTTGTGGGAAGGCAGCATCGCTGTTATGCTGGTTGACTGAAGGAAACGCCTTACTGCCGTCACACCTCTGTACAGTAAGCAGTACGACTTTGCTTTCAAACCTTCAGTTTGTTGCTTTTAGTCTTACCGCTCTACGATCGACCTGTCTGACATAGTAGGACCTTGAGGAACGATTGCTCCAGCCAGTATAACTCGATTGGTTCATCACGATAGGTAAGCCCGACCACCACATCAAGGTAGCAGCAACAGTCGGGAAACCAATGGTCTTCAGTCTTGTACGCGGACGCTTAGCTCTGAACAATATAGAACAAATTAGCCTTTCATCTAATAACTAGAAAAATAATAAAGATCAACACAATACTATCTAACACCGTAAAATAGAAACAATAAAACGGAAATTTATTTGATTATCCCATATCACAATGAATATGAAGGCTAGTTGAATATTAGTTACAAGTCAAAATCAAAATCCTCTTTTCCTCAACTATAGTAAACATTTTGATTCAGAAAATCAAAAAAATGTCATTATCAGTCAGTCAGCTACGGCGTAGGACCAGGCACATATATATGCATCGGTCCAAGTTGCCATTACCTCGTTAGCACAACAAGATAAACACCGAATTCATAGAAGTAGTTAATATAATAGTGGTGGTTAAACAAATCATTGAAAAACAAAAACGAATGAACAATTGTTATATCATGTTATCGAATTCTTCAAGAATGTGTATCCACGATCTTTTTGATAAACGAAAACAAGACTAAGGTTTCATAGTGAACATCTAACCTTTAGACCAATGAGTTAGCTTCTGGTAGATAATTTTTTTAAAACTTAATTTAATTCTGTGAACAATACCCGTTGCTACTTGTATGTAACTGCCACAAATCCAATATGATTAAACTCCACTGATCAAAGCTTATCGTTAGGATTCTGGAAATGACTGCTTAGAATAGGTCATTAAAGGGCACATGAGTATTACTATTACTATTAAAAGGGGTGATGAAGACTGCCAAATTTTATATTTGGTATCCTAAAATGATCCTAATTAGTTCACAATTACAAACTAAGAACCACTGGATAGTTGTTTTGTAACAGGATGGGTCTACTTAGAAGTATACATTTAGCGTTTCCTGATTTGCAATGGTTATCTAACTAAGGTCATTACATAGTACAAACCAAGATATTTAGTTATCTACAAAAACTTCATAAGCCTGTAAACTCCATAGTACACACAGGCATAGATGCTCCCGCTAGCAAGTATACACTACATGCACATATTGAGTGTGTAAACCAAGACCTATACATTCTATAGGATAAGCATAGGTATATATATGCGATCACCTCTGATCGCAACCCAATGGTTTTCAAACATTGAATGAATATTAAACACTCAAATCAATTTGAATTTAAGTCATTATGAACAATATGCTCTCATCACGCTCATACGACAAAGCAATTTTAGTGTCAACCACTGAGCACTACTTACGAAACAGTTCATATCTTTTATTCGAGTCCACCTATTCCAAAACCAGTGGATCATTCTAGCAAGAATTCAGTTGCGCATATAAAAGACACTTTTTTTCTCCAAGACAACAATCATGCTCTCAATTCTTTCATTTAATTAATCAAAGCGGATGATTAGTCCTATCTCCACTTAACCACCTCTATTAGTTCATAAACACAGTCCATTAATTCTAGGAGCACTAATATAAAGGTGTGAATTAGTCTTTACGCCCTAAAGTATAACACTAAACAAATAGAAAATGTTAGATATTTTATAGATAACATCATGAGTCAATTGAAGCTAGATCACCATCGAAAACCTGGAAGCACTACTTGACAGCCATTTCGTCCTATTGTGGGACTTCTCAGTGGCAGTGCGCATCCATGATCCCGCCTTAAGAGATTCAAAATCAGGGCCTACCATTCTCGCTCCAGAGCACTTAACCGATAGACCACTGAGCCGGCATCTAACGTTGTTAATATCTAACCTCAACCAATCCACCAAACTCCCTTCTGAAAATGTTAGATAGTACACTTTTGTTAAACACTGAAAATAAAAAGTAGGGGAATTGAATGAATCATAGAAGACAACGAATATCGATATATTTAGTCTGTTTTTTACCTTTCTTTCTTAATTGTATAATCATATTAAGATAGAAACAAAATTTCATTACACTGATAGAAACATAGGAGATTAATATACACACACACACACACACACACACACACAGATTTTAACTTTTTCTTCAACAACTATAACTGATAGTATAAGTATAGTAGTAATAACATTACTTATTTACAAGTTAATGGTATATACTGGGTAGGGGGGTTGTTTGATAAATATAAATGTAACGACAATAACAGAATAAGAATAGGGAAAATAAGAGAGGGACAGCGAAAAGTTTAAAAAAAAAGCAACAGACGAAGAGAGAAATATATTAGATATTCTAGTTACTAAGCACATGAATAAGGTGCATTGAACTGACTTTATTGAAACAAATTAACTAATAAACTAATAAGCAAACTAGAATGAATCAACACATATTATAACTGAATTTCTATGTAAGTATACTAATAAGGAAAAACGTGAGATAAGCAATATGGACTTATTTGTATTTCTTATCAATATGTAGTGTATATTGTTAACATTTCCCCCCAAATGACCTGGTACGGCCGAGAGTGGGGAAGGCCCACTATGTCGAAATGCTCTCACATGGCTACTCATAAATAGCCTCTACCAGGGAAGTCCTACTCACTGACTCCTCGTGACATTATTGTTGTTTACGGAATTGAGAGGATGATAAGCGAATGTCCGGCGCTTTAACCGGGTTGGTGGATATGGAGGATCCATCTAGGGGAGTTGGGAAACCCTCATTCCAAACCAATGGTGCACATGGGCTCCAGTATCCTGAGGGAACAAATGGCGCACGAATCAATCGTTGGTCACCTCCTAACATGATACTGCATCTCTTTATGATGCTCCACTGTCTTGTGGGTCAGACCTTTGGGTCGAAGGCTTCCGGTGTAGCCCTCTAAGAAAACCACCTGCTTCAGTTTGGACACCTGGGCAGTATCACAGCCCTCACACAAATGAAATGAGATTTGTGTGTCGCATATATATATATGGTGCCCCTTTGTATCAATATTTATGTATTTAAATAAATAAATAAATTTTTAACATTGATACAGTTTGATTTGCCATTTAATTAGTGATCAACACAATCCACTTAATGTAGTATATATTTAAACTTGTATTATAAAAGTGTAATATAATTAGTCAATGTGAACGCGATTATAGTTACTACCTCAATAAGGTGTTTAGGTTCTTAAATCGTAATGATCTAATCGAGCTTTATTGACTGGAATATTCGTTTCTTTACATCTTACAATGCCCGGGAGGTTAGTTGGAAAACGGTAAGACTAAATGAAACAAAATTATGGTTCGAGGATGAAGTCGTACTGGAGACTGTATTGGTGTGTGACAACTGTAAGGTGTTTCCGGCAAAGAAAAAGCATTTGCAGTGATGCTGTATTCTCAAAATCAAAGGAAGAGACTAAAAAAATGATAAACATTTCAGCCTACCCCACAGATTTCTGTTACCAAGAGTAGAGCTTTTTAAAGTATGGAGTAAATATATTACAAACGTTTCACAGAAAGCACATGTATAACTGGCAACAGGCATTTTTCTCAATGGGCTTTGCGGTTACTCTCCTAAGCCGCTACGACCACGGTGCAGGTAATCAGTGATTTACAACTCCTTGCATACCTCGAACAAAGCCAGAGTTCCTGAGATTGAATGGATAAAGGCTTCAATTTATCGATTATTTGTTGTCTACAAGGTACTTTGGCATGAGCCACATTCTAAGACTAATGATAATACTTGGTGGCCTAAACTACACTAGGTGGAAAAGGGTCTGAAACGTGAAGTTATGGCTGAAATTTGAACACCTTAACCAATAAACATTTGCTCGAAATTGTAATTTATACAAATAGATTGGCTAGTCCGTGAGGCATAAAAAACTTATGAGCTGGTACTTAAGTTCAAGAATGTCACAACTATACATTTCAATGGAGCACTGATATAGTACTTAAGGGGTTTAATTTTCAGCCACCAAGTCTGGGGTTTGAATCCCGTTCAACCGCGTAGAAGCACATTTAAAATGCGTACAGACCTTTAACCTTCACCGTGGTAAATGAAACAGAAAATAAATAAATACATCAACATAGACGTTGTATAAACGTAAACGAACAGGATAAATAAAACCATAACTTTTCATTGAAATCGTGGATCAATCTACATCAGGTAACCATTGATAACCTGGATGTCCGTTTCTTCTTAATAATAGAACCTTTCAGGAGTGTGCATCCACAACTCCGCAACCTGGAATTGAACCCAGAACCTTCGATCTCACACGCCTAATTTATTGACCACAGAGCCGAGGTCCAATGGTGTACAATGGTTCAGAAGCTAAGTAACAACGCGTGAGACCGAACGATCCTGGGTTCACTTCAAGGTTGTGGAGTCGTGAATACAGACTGCTCACGAGTCCCACATTAGAACAAAACGGCCGTCCGAGTATTCAATAGTTGTCTAACTTCGGTCGATTCATGAATTCATTAAAATTCTACAATCTCATACTGAATATTACAACAAATCAAAATTGGTAGTATCGGTGGTGACGGTAGTAGTAGTAGAGTTATTATATCTCATAATGAAAATTTGACCATATGAAAAACAGTTGGCAAATAATGAGTGATAACACAGAAAGAAAAAAACATGGAACGTAACTAAACTAAAGATGAGTTTGCTTCACAATATTTGATTATAGGTGGTCACATAAATCTCTTCCTAATTACAGAAGTAAATGATTAATCTGGGAAAGTTTCAATTAGGAAGTACACATATATAATCGATGTAGAGTGGGACAGCAATTAGACTACGTGAAAACAACTTTGGGTTTGGTTACCATTAAACATGTATTTTCTAACCCATTCCCTTTTATACTAACGGGGCAGTTAGACGGTAGTTGCCTATAAACTATATCAAATACACTAATTCAATTCCAGATAATGAAGGTGTAAAGCTTCAGAGACCGACTTTTGATCACTATTTAAATTTATCTGTTATTCATTCTTTAAAAACATAAAAATTGGTACAAGGATGCATCAAATATATATGCTCTACACTTCATCAATCGATTTGTGTGAGGTCTGGGATAACTCTCAGGTGCCTAATCCGAGGTAGGTTGTTTTCTTAGGGGGTCACTCCTCAAACCTTTGACCTAGAGGTCTAAAATAAAACATAATTCGATAACTCCAGGTCTTCATGTTTAACAATAGGCATTATTATTATTGAATCACTTCCCAAGGTACGGATTCGTGCACATGAATTCGAGTCATACTTTAAGTGTGAGAGCAATCAACATCACCTGGTTACATGAACTGAATTAGGCAAAGCTGGGTTTGGAATTATGAGTAAGCGACTGAAAGTCAAATGTCGTAAATACTATTACTGAGTTATTCCATTTTGAGAAATTTATTATACAAAAAAATAATGAAATGTAGCTAGTAATACTTAATACTCTTAACTAAGAAAATACATGTCTAGTGGTTAAGCGCTCGCGCGCGAAACTGATAGGTCCTGGCTTCGAATCTCATGAGGCGAAATCATGGATGCGCACTTCTGAGGAGTACGACAATAGGACGAAACGGCCGTCCTGTGCTACCAGGTTTTCCATGGTGGTCTAGCTTCAATTGACTCACGATTTCAACTATAAAATTACTGAAATCTCTACAAAACCCCCTTCTGAGAATAATATGTACCAAAGCTCCATGCATAATCTTTCTGACAAAAAAAACGAGCAAAGACAATTGATTAATGTATATATTCGTATCGATATAAACATATATAAATAAGACGTACGCGGCTGAATATTCGAATAGACCATAATAAGGATTGAACATTTCACGTGATAATAAAAAGAACCATTCTCGCTGTACACCACCATAATCTAAACCTTTTTCACCAATAAATTCAATCCATAATCTAAAAATGAAAGTAAAGAAAAGCCATAAAGCAAACTAGAAAAATATTCCAGGCAATTAGTACTTAGATCAGAAGGGGTTTTGTGGATATTTCAGTGTTTTCATAGTTGAAAACATGAGTCAATTGAAGCTAGATCACCATAGAAAACCTGTAAGCACTGGACGGCTGTTACGTCCTATAAAGGGATGTTTCCTTGAGTTCTAGTGGGAAGCAGTGACCAGTGGAATTCAACCAAGTCTGTTGTAGAGATATCAACTCACTGAAGACAATTGGTGAACGGTTGCTCAAACATCGTGGATTGGTTGAAGTCAGATATTAACACCGTTGGATACTGACTCAGTGGCCTATCGGTTAAGTGCTCCGGCTCGAGACTGGTAGGTCCTGGGTTAGAATATCGGGAGTGCGAGATCGTGGATGCGCACTGTTGGGGAGTCCCATGATAGGACGAAACGGCCGTCCAGTGCTTCCATGTTTTCTATGGTGGTCTAGCTTTAATTGACTAATGATTTTAAAAATGAAAATTAGTACTTAGTTAAGAAGTTACATTGATACTTTTTGAATTTGTAAGTACTTTTGTAAATGTCTTTGAAGCATTGCTCACGTTTAGTGGAACAACTGAATGACAAATGCTGTGGATAGGCATCAAGGTGTGAAGGTGCCAAATCAGTTGATGATGTGGTAAGTCTTCTACAGTTGAGGTAATTAGCTCATGTGTTACTTTGATAGGAGATATTTGATGGTAAAATAGTAGTTTGGAAGAAGAAACAAAGGAGGAGTCAAACCGAGAAAGCGGTATTATTCTATGAAGTTATTGATTTTGGCCTGAACTATGTTGATAGGAGAAAACTACCTGGTTATGGCCCACTTGATAGCCATGATCAGTGATTGGAGACTTTGGATGACACGGTTTAAAATCGATCGCAATGGTGCAGATGAGTTTCTCTCTATCTATGATTTCAGTATTCCTTTACACATACGTTCACCCTCTATCTTTTTAAATTATATTCCAAAAGTTTAATTGTTCTTTTTATCACTGTTACTACACTGTTTCGATCTTTTATGTAATTCACCTTGTTCATTTCATTTTACTTAAGTTAGCATAGTATAACGATATGAGGCAAAATACTTTTTAAGAGATCCTTTCACGTGTGGTTGATCAATAGAGTGATGAAGTAAGATTACAAGATTTAGTCGGTCAATCATAGACCTTCAGAATGCTGGAGAACTTTTATACTACTAATTTTGATTTATGGTTTTTGATGAACTCATCTAGATGGACATGTACATCTGTTTTCTCTTCGTCATTTTCGGTGATACATGAAGATAGTAATTATGGTTACATTGGAAAGAATGTTGAAATGGCGTGACTTTATCTGACTAGATTTCAAAAGAAAATGAGTTCTTATTTACAATCATAAGAATTATGACCATTTAAGTACGGTTACAAAAAGGATTGTGATAAAACTGACATTGAAACAAATAAGATAAAGAAATTACGAATTCGGGGAACTTTTACATATTTCGAATGTTCACCAAACAATCATAGTGTTATAAACGGTAGGATACTTGTTATAACCCTAGAGCTTCTTGTTATAATGATCCTTTCACTTATGTGTGAGACGTATGTGAGACGTTAATTTACCTTAGACGAATATCTACACTAGATTTCCTCCCAGTGTCTATTCTACAGGACTTCAATACAAATTAGATCAAGAACACGAGATTAGCCTGACTAGAACGTCAATATATTTCCACACACCCAAAATCCGACACAATCCAACAACAAGGAACAGTCAATCCATAATAATAATAAGGATAAGGGAATATATAATACATATAACACCTGTCACATTATCTCCATGTAGGACTCAGCAAAACAATAACAATCATTATTACTCTCACCCGCACATCACATAATAGTCAGCTATCTTAAATATTTGAAGATATTAGGGAGATCGAAAAGCAGGTATATCCACTGAGGATAGTGAAACGTCTGTCACTCGGACGGTTGATGTGAAATTTCTAACCCTATTTCTAGATACCCTAGATACTTCTAGACTTAGTAGAAAAAAAGGAGTAAAGTAAGAGCAGAAGCTTTATTTTAAGGTTAATTTATAAGCAAAGAAAAGGTTATTTATAGGTTTACTGATGTCCTCAATCACACAAAAGCTTCTGGAAATAGGCTACATTTATTAAAATAACAAGCAATTAACCAATGAAGCCGCGACACGTAATCTTGAGTTTCTCTATATGTTTCTAAGAAGCATCCATTTGATGTTGATTGTACACGATGTTTTTCAGCATTCTCCTTCCTTCAGGAGTCTTTCTTAGAGAGTTCTTGAGGGCTTAAAGTAGTAATGTGCTCACCAACCTACTCAATGATCAGTTAATTATAAATATGTTAGTTAGTTCGACAGTCCACTGTGGAAAAGAGCAAACCAGATTCCATGTGATGACGAAATTAGGAAAAGACATTTGAAATGGATAGGACATAAATTACGGAAATCAGGAAACTGCATCACGAGGCAAGTCCTAACTTAGAATCCGGAAGGACAGTGGAAAAGAAGAAGGCCAAAGAACACAATACGCCGGAAAATAGAAACAGATATAAAAAAAGATGAATAACAACTGGAAAGGATTGCCCAGGGCAGGGTTGAATGGAGAGTGCTGGTGGGTGATCTAGGCTCCTCTGCAAAGGGTAACAGGTTTAATTAATGTTAGTTCAACAGGTCAAAAGCGGCACAAATATCTCGATAGTGACATCTTAGACTGTAAAGCTCTATGACACAGGTTCAAATACAAAAACGGCAGTCCGTTAGTTGCAGGTACACCTTTCTGACGAGTGATAAATAATGCAACACTACATCCATGATCTCCTACTGATTACTTAAACCAATTAATATATATACGTAAACTTACCGATGCATTAAAACTTCTGGTCTTTTTATTCCATAAATTAGACGGAATGAATCTTCGAATATACCAGCTCGTGTAACACGTAATTCAAATTTAGCTTGTGGATCACGTGGAGCTCGTAACCTTGATCGGAAATAATCATATTTCTGTTTATAATTTCTTGAATAAGGAACAGCTGGACCGCCTAAACGTTCTAGACGAGGATCTTCCCATTGAGTAGTTCGAGCATCTATTGAAATTATTATAAAAAAAACACATATAAAATAAGTTCCACTAAGACTACAAGTACACTTTATTTATTTATTTGATTATTTAATTAAACACATAAATATTGGTACGAAGAGGCACCAGATATATATGCGCCACATAAATCTCATTTCATTTGTGTGAGGGCTGTGATACTGCCCGGGTGACCAAACCGAAGCAGGTAGATTTCTTAGGGGGCCACACCCCAAGCCTTTGACCTGAAGGTCTGATCCACAAGGCAGTGGAGCATCGTAAGGAGATGCAGTCACATGGTAGTCGGTGACCAACAATTGATTCATACGCCATTTGTTCACTCAGGATACTGGAGGTGATGTGTACCATCGGTTTGGAATCAGGGTTTCCCAACTCCACTAGGTGGACTCGCCGTGTCCACTAACCCGGTTAAAGGCGCCGGACATTCGCTTTTCGTCCTCTCAAATTCGTAAACAACAGCCATGCCACGAGAAGGCAGTGAGTAGGACTTCTCTAGTAGAGGCTGTATACGTGTGGCCATGTGAGAGCATTTGGAGAGGGAGAGTGGACTCTCCCCACGATCGGCCGTACGAGGGCATTTAGGGGTCCACACACTTTCCCAACGAGTTCCAAACAGTATGGAACCTTGGTCAAACAGGCTTTCCGACTGACTACATCTACATACCATCATACATACATGTACTGATCAAGCAAATCATCAAAATGGTATGACGCAAACCAGCAGTAGTAAATAGGTGCAGTGCAATTGAAGTACGAATTCGGAAGTAAATATAGCCCATAGAAATACTCTAGCCATAATAATAGTAAAAAAAGTATTATTATTATAGTTTGTGTGCAATATACACAAGCAGGTAAACAAACACACACACACACACATGTAGATAGTATTCTCAATAGAACAATTTTACATTAGAAATTAACTTACTATGATTAATGTAGAAAATACGACCATTACTATGTACACGTTCTTCCCAACCAGGCTAGTTTTTGAGTAAAACAAGAAAAAAAACAGGAAAATTCGAGAAAACACAAGAAGAAACTACATAATGTATAGGTAGAGTGATTTTTTAATTTGCAAATATTATTAAACCATGGTGTTGATTTGATAATAAGCAAAGATGGATAGTGGATAGCAGTGGAATCCAAGACGCATGTTTCGTCCTATTTAGGACTCGTCAGCTGGATGTACCTGCATCTCAGAGTTAGATGATGTTCACTCTGGGACTTGAACTCAGTACCCTCGCTTGAAACGCCATCGCGTTATCCACTCGGCCACTGAGCTGGATTACACTGCTAGCCACTATCCATCTTTGCTTATCATGCTTGTGAATCAAGGCTATATCGAGGCAATACGCACAGTATGCACATATGCCAATTAAAGATTGACCAGTTGCAATTTATGCTATAATAAGCAAAGATGGATAGTGGGTAGTAGTGGAATCCAGGGAGCACGTTTCATCCTATTTGGAACTCATCATCTGGATGTATCTGTATCTTAAAGTTGATGTACACTCTGTGACTCAAACCCGGTACCTTTCGCTTCAAGCTCCATCGCGTTATCCATTCAGCTACTGAGTCCCGATAGCCACTTGCTTGGGGTGGGGGTGAAGTTTAAATTCACTTGGTATTATTTGTTTGAATCTTCCCATTGATGTCTAGGATTGCAATTGATCAGTCTCTTATTGGACGAAACGCGCGTCCTGGATTCCATTGCTAGCCACCATCCATCTTTGCTTATAATTACGTATATTGTTTATAATAGAAAAAAAAGATGTAATATTTTTGATAAGTGATAAATATTCTGACTGAACGTTTGAATCAGTTTCCCAAGATCTTCTAGTAACTTCAGACTAAATCTACACAGAAACTTGAACACGAAAGAAAATGTGTGAAATATGGAAAGAACAATTTACTCCAAGGTTAGTTTATGTACCGGAAATTGACGGTATTTATAGAATTTCAGATGAACTTGGGATTCTGTCAAGCATAGTAGCAAAATAAGTAATCATCCAATCAGGGGTGTGATACGTGACTCTCCACTTTTTAGATGTTTCTGAGAGAGTTCTATTCAATACTGATTGGATAAAACGTTTCCCAGTGTTTCCAGGGGCCCCTTAGCCTTTCTTCGAATAATACTTTAGGTCTCCACAACAATAATTATCCCAAATGGACAGAAATGAGAATGTCTGACATTTTGTAACTTCATTTAAACCACTTATTCCGTTTAGATGAATACGTAACCGAAATTTTGATTAATAGTTTATTACCTATACTTCCCAGGTCAAATACTCAATGAGCTCTGACTCATTACGCAAACTGTTTTCTCGTTAAAAGTGTCCAATGGTAAGGAAGGCCTTCAGATTATTTGGCCGTCTTACACTTAATAATAAATAGTAGTTTTAACAAGGTTTGAATGATTTTTTTCTGGTTAGCGTTTTTTTAGCGAGTTGAATTTCCTACGGGATGGGGTCGCTAACCCCATGCCCAACCCTCCTCCTTTACCCGGACTTGGGACCGGAAGTAACCCCAGAGGAGCTACAGGCGGACACTCTCCGATACAATACAATATGCACCAATCAAATTACACTTGATGGAGAACCTTTGGAGGATGTGGAAACCTTTACATATCTGGGCAGCATCATTGATGAACACGGTGGATCAAATGCAGATGTGAGGGCGCGGATCGGCAAAGCAAGAGCAGCATACCTACAACTGAAAAACATCTGGAGCTCAAAACAATTGTCAAGCAACACCAAGGTTAGAATTTTCAATACAAATGTGAAGACAGCTCTACTATATGGGGCGGAGACGTGGAGAAATTCGAAAGCTATTATCCAGAAGATACAAGTGTTTATTAACAGCTGTCTATGCAAGATATTTCGGATCCGTTGGTCAGACACTATCAGCAACAAGTTACTGTGGGAGACAACAAACCAGATTCCAGCGGAGGAAGAAATCAGGAGGAAGTGCTGGAAGTGGATTGGGCACACTTTGAGGAAATCACCCAATTGTGTCACAATACAAGCCCCCACGTGGAATCCTGAAGGTCAAAGGAGAAGAGGAAGACCAAAGAACACATTACTCCGACAAATGGAGACAGAAATGAGAAGAATGAACAAAATTTGGATAGAACTAGAAAAGAAGGCCCAGGACAGTTTGGGTTGGAGAAAGCTTGTCGGCGGCCTATGGTCCATTGGGAGTAACAGGCGTAAGGAAGTAAGTTTTAACAAACACGATTGTCTTCGAGAACGTTTGCTCAATTTATATGAAAGTTTTTTATTCAGAAGATAAACGAAAGCTACACGATTAAATAACCATTCAGTACCAAGAAAGTTCAAAAAAACGAGATCAAATCGTCTACGTCTGGAGTTTCGTTTCTCGCACTGAGTAGTGAATTACTGGAATTCTCTACCAGAACACGTAATATCAGCACCTTCTGTTGATATATTCAAAACGAGATTGGACCTCCATAGCGTAACAAACTGCAAGGATTAAAATAGGTCGATAGACCTCCTATCGTTATTACTGAAGACTGAAGAACGAAAACTCCACTGAGATCATTCACTTAAGTTGCAAATCTTGCTCTACCCTCTCAAATCATTTGCTCCTAATTTTTTTCGATGTTTCGGGGTTATAGTCGTTGGTATACAAATAAATTTATGTGTCATAATCCTGACTCCTTGTAATATCAAGCTTTTTCCTAAATTCTTATGTTTGCTTCTTAATCGCGTGTACCGTTATTTGTGTTATTATTGTTAATGAAGTGTTGTGGAGATAAACCATTGAGTTCTATAAATGTAATCATAGATCCCCGTTCTATTAAAAGACATCTACATTCAAATCACTGATAATTCAGAACGGTCGTAAGTTGTTTGACAAAATAAAACCTTGATAGAATAATTCATATAAGCGGTGTGATGGAATAAACCTTACAAAATTAAGTTAACAACAAAGTCATAGGTTTGCAAACAAACAGACAAACAGTGGTTTAGAGGTTCGGTCACGCACACGAACACTTTTCCTCTAGACCACTGAGTCAACATCCAACAATGTACATATCTAACTTCAATTGATCCATTATCTTGCACAACCCTTCATCCACTCCGTGAAGTAGATAATTGTCTGTTACCTGGGATGGATCGAATTTCACCGGTCACAGCTTCTAACAGAACTGAAGCAGTTGTATGTCGAAGCTAGTCATTAGTGAGCATATGATTATTGTTAGCATAGGGGATTTAGGGAGATTGTAATATTTTCACCGTAACTAGTGAACTTCAATGAACATCGGATAGTAGGAGTGACTGATGAGTCCCTTGATGGAACGAAATAGTATTCTAGTGCTTTCAGGTTTCCAATGGTAGTTTAGTCTAAGATCAGTTCATGATTTCAAAGGTGAAAATATTACAATCTCCGCAACTGTCTTATTTATTCATTTATTTGAACACATAAATATTGGTACAAGGAAGCACCAGATAAATATGCGCCTCACAAATCTCACTCGATTTGTGTGAGGGCTGTGATACTGCCAAGGTGCCCAGACTGAAGCAGGTGGTTTTCTTCGGGGGCCACACCCCGAGCATTTGACCTGAATGTCTGATCCACAAGGCAGTGGAGCATCGTGAGGAGATGCAGTCCCATGGTAGCCGGTGATCAACGGTTGATTCGTACGCCATTTGTTCCCTCAGGATACTGGAGCACATGTGCACCATTGGTTTGGAATCAGGGTTTTCCAACTCCCCTAGGTGGACTCGCCGTGTCCACCAACCCAGTTAAAACAACGGACATTCTCTCAATTTCATAAACAACACTACCGCCACGAGAAGGCGGTGAGTAGGACTTCCCTGGTAGAGGCTACATACGCGTGTCCATGTGAAAGCATTTGGAGAGGGAGAGCAAACTCTTTCCACTCTCGGCCGTACCAGTGCCGATATCAATAATAAATATTTATCATGTAAATACTAAATGCTAAAGCATGTTGGAGTTTCATGCTAAAGTGATATCATCTACCTCTACACACACACGCGCGCGCACTTAAAGTTTGTGAAATAAAACAAACAAACACATACACACATATGATCTATGAATAAATAAATTCTCCTATAAACATGATCATTTATACACACACTTATCAATCTATGACAAACAATGTTTATTTAATGACACTTGTAAAACACAATAATAGACAAATGGTTGTTGTCATAGCAAAAGACATAGGGGTGAGCGCGAGCGCGCGAGAGAGAGAGAGAGGGAGGGAGAGGAACAAATTAAAATCTAAAGAATCCATGAGATATACACAATAAATTAATCAATCCGATTTTTTTTATTTTGTATAAATTAAGATGAAATAAGATGTAGAACGAGTTCATATTCACACTTTATATGAATAAGACAGAGAATGAATGATCTTCAATGGTTAAAATTAATAAATAGAATGACATTTATTTACATATTATAGTTATTTGTTTATTTATTGATCAATGAATTGTTTACATACAATTTTCTCTTGGATACGAGAACATGTCCTCCTAGAGTGGTTCTACAAGCGGGATGAAGGTTTCATTCTTCAACAATTAAATGAACTAAATTCATTCAGTATTGTTTGTTTGAATCTTCCCATTGATGTTTTTAGGACTGCAACTAGTCAGTCTCTAATTGGCATATGTGCATACTGTGAGTATTGCCTAGATATAGCCTTAATTCACAAGCATGGTAAGCAGAGATGGATAGTAACTAGCAGTGGAATCCAAAACGCATGTTTTGTCCTATTTGGGACTCGTCAGTTGGATGTACCTCCATCTCAGAGTTGATGTTCACTCTGGGACTCGAACCCAGTACCCTCGCTTCAAACGCCATCACGTTATCCACTCGGCCACTGAGTCCTGATAGCCACTTGCTTGTGCAATGGGGTGACCAGTTGCAGTCCTAACAAATCGATGGGAAGATTCAAACAAACAACATCAAGTGAATTTAAACTTCACTCCATCGCACAAGCAAGTGGCTATCAGGACTCAGTAGCTGAGTGGATAACGCGATGGCGTTTGAAGCGAGGGTATTAAGTTCGAGTCCCAGAGTGAACATCAACTCTGAGATGGAGGTACATCCAGCTGACGAGTCCCAAATAGGACAAAACATGCGTTTTGGATTCCACTGCTAGTTACTATCCATCTCTGCTTACCAATTAAATGAACTGTAATAATTCTATCGATTCATAAGGTTGATTTTATGGTCGTTTATATAATTTATCTAAATTCACCTAGACTTTTTTTGTATCTATCTCTTAAAAATAGAAGAAGCTTTTGCCAATCATGAGTAGAAGCCAGAAGTATGCACAAAAAAAGAAGTATATCTTATCGTTATCACAATTGATTGATCACTGGATGGTGATCACTGTCATGCGTGTCAAGTCCATCTTAGTGCTGATCGAATGCTATCGATCAAGTTGCAATGTGGCCACTAGTTCCTGGGACTTTATTATTATTATTATTATATATATATATATATATCGCTGAGTAGTGAACCAAGCTCATATATGTTAAGTCCATCTCAGTGTTGATTGAATTCTATCAATTGGGTTGCAAAGTGGTGACTAGTCTAATTGACTTAAAGTCGTATGCACTGTGTTGAGATGTAAGGTGGTGATTAGAGGTATTCGACAGGAAACCCTACTTAACCCAGATTTCGTCTTAGTCAGCACTTGTTACATTCAGGGCTTTATGTCGACTACCTCTAACCAACATAGATTAGAATAACTTTAATCAAAATCACTTTCACATATCAAAGGTAACTAGAATGTAAACTATAAACTTTCAGCCATTAAGCACTAACGTGTGCATGTCACACTACTGAATCATTAGATAAAATATGAATTACAGAAATTCCACTGCTTTTCAGTAAAAAATTGAAATGATTGCTTAAAAGTAGTTTAACTAGACAGAACTAATCCCAAACCATATGTATATCTGGAATGATGTTTTCAATAAGGTTACAGAGATAGTAAGTAATCCACATTGAACACAAAAAAGACAACATACACCTATTTATATCATGCATAGAACAGTAGTACTATTGAAAGTTTTTTTTACGGGTAAACATGTTGTGCACAACAATGAACCAGTGTTCCTGTGAGATCGTCAATCGTTTAATAGAAACATTATGTGTCAAAAAAATGTAGAGTTCTATCCAATACATATAAACACGTTTGAGACAATAAAGATTGTTGTCTGAATAACCAAGTTGGCAGTTTTAAAAGCATCTCAAAAATATTATTTAAAACACACCTATTGAACAGAACATTATCTGAAGGTGTCACACAATTAAATACCAGCTGGATTATGACATTGAACAGTGGAATAGATAACTTTTGCATATGGAATGGTGCCTTAGAAACAGGAATTACTACAACAGAACGATGATAAATGTTGACTAAATGCAGTCAATTTATAAATTACAGGTTCATGGACTTGTTTTCAAGCCGAATCACATGTGCGTTTGGCAAATGATTTGACCTGGGGTTGCTCAAACCAAAATACATCCCGGTTTGGTTTGAGAATTTACCGTCTAAAAGTTAAGAGGCTGCAACCAGATAGCTAAAACGCAATCTCGATCTATTCATTATTTATTTAAACACATAAACATTGGTACAAGGAGGCACTAAATAGATATGCGCCACATAAATCATTCGACTTGTGTGAGAGCTGGGATCCTGCTCGGATGCCCACAGTTATTTAACGTAAAAAAACGGTCTTTAGCAAAATTATTAAAAGTGTAAGCCAGTAACCACCTCTGCTTACCATGCTTGTGAATTAAGGCTATATCTAGGCAATACGCATAGTATGCACATATGCCAATTAGAGACTGACCAGTTGCAGTCCTAACACATCGATGGGAAGATTCAAACAAACAATACTAAAAGATAGAGTGATTTAGAAAAATCGCAAACAAAAATAAAAAAAATGATAACTAGTCTTACCGGTAATGGGCCTAAATCTTTCATGACATGTCGTTGTGCTTCATGGGTCAGTAAAGAACCATTGATTATTTGATTATTTGATCGGATAACTCTAGGATCATCCTAAGATTTAAGAATAATGAAAGAGAAATTAAATGATGGATGTAAGACTTCATTAAGCATAATGATACACTGTAAGTGAATTTGATAATTTACATATTGAACTTGTCTCATTAAAACAACCACTGAACACTAAGAAAAACTGGACGGATATTTCGTCGTATTGTTGTATTTTATTTATTATTTATTTAAACACATAAATATTGGTACAAAGGGGTACCAGATAAATATGCGCCACACAAATCTCATTCAATCTGCTTGAGGGCTGTGATACTGCCCAGGTGCCCAAACTGAGGCAGGTGGTTTTATTAGGGGCCCACACCCGGAGCCTTTGACAGAAAGATCTGATCCACAAGGCAGTGGAGCATCGTGAGGAGATGCAGTCCCATGGTAGCCGGTCACCAACGATTGATTCATACACATTTTGTTCCCTTAGGATACTGGAGGCAGTTCATGTGCACCATTGGTTTGGAATCAGGGTTTTCCACTCCCCTAGGTGGACTCGCTTCGTCCACCAACCCAGTTAAAGCGCCGGACATTCGCTTTTCACCCTCTCAATTTCATAAACAACACCTCCGCCACGAGAAGGCAGTGAGCAGGACTTCCCTGTCAGAGACTATATATTCGCTGGCCATGTGAGAGCATTTGGAGAGGGAGAGACGACTCTCCCCACTCTCAGCCGTACCAGGGCATTTGGGGGCGTTACTACTTTTCAGAAGCACATAACAACGACCACACAACACTGAAGATTATTTATTATGAAAAAAATTAATATATTGGTGATATCTCAATTAGTAGAAAATCTAATTTTCCTGCTTATTCCACTGCTAGTTACTATCCATCTCTGCTTACTATCTACAAATTTATTATTTTTATTTATAAAGATCTACCCAATACTCAATTTATTTGAAATTACCAAGTCAAACCTTGGTAATGATAACTATTATTTAAACACATAAACATTGGTACAAAAAAAGAGCACAGAAATATATATGTGCCACACAAATCATTGACTTTGTAAGTTGTCTGGGATACTGTCCGAGTGCTAAAAACCCAGAGATGTAATCCACAAAGTAGTGGTCACAGGATAGCCGGCGACCAACAGTAGGTTCATTTTACATTTGTTCCCTAAGGATTCTGAAGCCCATGTGTATCACTGGATTGGAATCAGGGTTTTCCAACTGCACCAGATGGATCTACCTTACCCACCAACTCGGACATTCGCTTTTCACCACCTCAATTTCGTAAACAACAGCCTCGACGAGAAGGTAGTAAGTAGTCCCTCCTTGAAGGCGACTACGAACGCATGGCTATATGAGGTCATTTCGGGCAGAGGAGTGAACTCTTTTCACCCTCATCCGCGCTCGGGACACTAAGTCTAGCATAGAGTCATTGATCTTTGAACAGACGAGTCGCAATTCAACAGTTCATTTAACTAACTTCAATCGATCCGTTATTGTTATATCCCGATAACAATAATGAATGGCAACTTTGGGATCCATTTATGGACCATTATTATGCATATATTTTTTATCGTATAATTGCAAAATAACTAAACTATTCATATCTATGCTACCCTTATTATAAGCATTACTTTGACCTATGAACTACTACTATATGATGTACTGTATTTGAGTAATACCCAGTCTATTAATTATTACCTCCCATATTCACAGCCACATTTGGCTAACTCTTGTACAAACGTTATTTTCTATTTTATTGGTAAGATATGCTAGTCTGTTTGATATATAAACTCAGCATGTTTGAAATACAAGGATTCATACTATAGAGGCTGTTATTGGTGTTTTAGACTTAACTGGCTGGGCTAGGACCGCTTAGCACTCTAGACTGCTCGAACGGTTTTCGTGTGTGTCACTGTTCCAATCGATAATTCGCTGCTCTCTGATTGGCGGTCATACATTAACTGCGCATCCACCCGGCCACAAGATATAACAGTGATATTGTACAATTAGATTAGTTATCTGCCTCACATATTCAATACAAGGTCGAATTCCAATAATGACAGGTTCAAACTAGAACCTTGTTAATCACGTTATGAAATTTATCCGTGAATTAACAACAACAACAACAAACAAACAAAATAGGACTTAAAAAATTCCGGTCATAAATGGATCAATGAATTAAAAGTCAAATAGTTTAAGTTATAAACTAAAGACACTGTTGAGGAGTTCCATGATAGGACGAAACGGCCGTCCAGTGCTCTCACATTTTCCATGTTGGTCTAGCTTCAATTGACTCATGATCTCAACTCTATACAATTCTAAAAATTTAGAAAGCACTTCAGTATTATTATTACGATTACTATTATAGTAAATTTCTCAACAATACTTATACAAGTACAGTTATACAATGTGTACAAACGTGTACACATTTTGGTAATCACATGTTATTATTATCATAGGATCCAAATTGATATGATGAAACTATTTAAATAATTATACTACTGATAAATACATAAAAGGAAGATCATTAAGATTGTTATTTTCGAAAAACCCAATACGGGGAAAATCGATCTGATTTACTAAAAATATATAAAATCAAAATGTATTTATCTATAGAAAGAAAAAAATAGAACATGAAAGTATTAGTTTGATACGATTACAGATTGACCGCAAGGAAGATAATCCATAAACACATACACACACACACACCCATCATAACAGCAAATTAAAAAGACTACAAAACGAAAGAATGAACACACTGTACAACAATCACCTATGTATTCAGTCAGTCAGTCGGCTACAACATAGGACCAGGGACATATATGCATCGGTCCAAGTTGCTATATTTCGTTAGCACAACAAGATCAACACTAGATTCATAGTAGTTAATTTAGTGGTGGTAATAGATAAAAGATAGGTTGTATATAGGGATATAGTATAGGAAGGAAGGCAGATATGAAGCAATTTTAATATCAAGGTTTAAGGGAATATAAAGAGTGTATACACCTACGCCATTGTGATCGATTCTGAGCCATGTCACACAGAGTCTCCAACCATTGGTTACGATGGTCACGCGGACTCCAACCAAGTAGTCTGCATCTGCCAACATGGATTAGACTAGAAGTTAGTGACTTGAAGCACTGTATTACTCTCTCTCTCTCTCTTTCTTTTTACGGTTAAGTAACATGATCTATGAAAGTAGATTTGTGTAAACTGAAGGTTTTTGAAGCATTATTGGTATGTATTATAGCATAACGAGAGATTAAATGCAGAGTAATACATAAAGAATTGTAAATCGACTGACAAGGATGTGAACGATCCCTGACTGAAGTAGTTCGAACATTTATCTTATATACTCAACCACAGACTACTTCGATGCACGATGTTCCTAGGTGTTGGAGTAGGTTAAGAGAAAGTTATAGATTGGACAAACAAAGATATAGCATTAGTTCATGTGTTCATTGTTTGTTGAATTGACTAACGTTGATAGGTAAAGTCTATCTGATTGGTGTCTAAGCGATGAACGTAACCAATAGTTGATGTTTAATGAATAACTCGGAATCACTCACAATGGGTAGATATCCATTCACTAGTTATTTTCCCTTTTATTTATTTATTTGAACACATAAATATTGGTACAAAGGGGCACCAGACATATATGCGCCACACAAATCTCATTTGATTTGTGTGAGGGCTATAATACTTTCCGGGCCCCCAAATTGAAGTAGGTGGTTTTCTTGAGGGGCCACATCCGGAGCCTTCCGCCTAAAAGTCTGATCCATAAGGCAGTGGAGCATCGTGAGAAGATGCATTCCCATGGTAGCCGGTCACCAACGATTGATTCACACGTCATTTGTTCCCTCAGGATAGTGGAGCCAGCCCATGTGCACCATTGGTTTGGAATCAGGGTTTCCCAACTCCCCTAGGTGGACTCGCTTTGTCCACCAACCCGGTTAAAGCGTCGGACATTCGCTTTTCGTCCTTTCACTTTCGTAAACAACACCCCCGCCACGAGAAGGCAGTGAGTAACACTTCCCTGACAGAGGCTATATACGCATGGCCATGTGAGAGCATTTGGAGAGTGAGAGACGACTCTCCCCACTCTCAGCCGTACCTAAAACTAATCCAAAACCATCATTGTCTTACTAACACTGAAAACTTTATCTGACTATATATAGCTCACATACATTAACCAACAATTAATGAATCAAACACAACTACACTTCAAATATAGAATCATGAGTGAATCTCTTCTTTTTTTTAATTTTGCATTCACCTGAACATTGAATGAAGCCGAAAACAAGTAAGATAAAAAGCCAAAAAAGAAAAGAGACAAAAGAATATACGTTCAAATTATTGTACATAGTTTAGTGCACTATTGGTATAATTTATTTTCTTATTAGACTAATTTGTTTAACTGAAAACCTTAAACACAGTAGATAGATAGACGTAATACCTCATATGCAAATAGTATTGCTTACAAAGATTTCTTTTCTTTAGATTACTATAATGACATGGCTCAAAATCGTTTACAATGGCGAAGGTGCATTCACTCTTTGTATTCTGTCAAATTCTAATCTTCTGAATTCTTCACATCTCTATCATTTTTCTCCTTCCAAATTTATTTCACTGGATTAAATTTTTACTACTTCTACCACTATGGGATTTAAATCGACAACTGCATCTTTGTGTTAATGTGGTATGGCAACTCAAACGAATGTACGTACGTGACTGACTGACTGAGATTACTATAATATTGATACAGAAGATATGTTACATACAAATTAATCCTAATAATTACTAATTAAAGTAACAATTATTATAAGTGAAGTAATAACTTACCCAAGTAGTAGTATGTTCATTATGATTAATGAAAAATTTTCGACCACTTGCAGTTCTAGCTAATTCCCAACCTTGTGGAAGTGGTTCTTCACCTGGAGCAATATCTAAGCCTAAAACAATTTCACCAATTCGACGATTTTTATCTACATGATCTATACCTTGTTCATTAGGTGAAGACTCTTGTAGTGAGGTAGTATTTGTTATTGTAATTGTTGAACTAGACGAATCTGTTAATTGAATGGTATTTGTATCAGAATTTGATGAAGTTGGTGGGATTGATTCACAATTTGAATCTAATAAAAAAGGAAGAAATGTGTACAAAGAAAATGTACCAATATGACGTGAGATATATTTTGAATTGGAATACATGAACGGACGATTATCAATATGAGAAGTCGTAGAAATTGTAGCAATTTCACAGTTGAATTAACGAGTCGACCAGTGAAAACCTTGAAGCACTGGACAGCCGTTTCGGCCCGCGTGTAGGATTGTGAATGCGCACTGCTAAGTCCTATATTAGGACTAAACGACTATCCAGTGCTTCCAGATTTTCAATGGTGATCTAGATTCGATCGACTCGTGAGTTCAACTGTAAGAAGGAATAGTAATTGACTATATATTGGTCTTTTTTAACTCCGCCTGTAGCTCTTCTAGAGTTACTGTCGGTCCCAAGCCCGGATAAAGGAGGAAGGTTGAGTATGGGGGTAGCGACCCCATCCCGTAGAAAAACTAACTCGCTAAAAAAAACGCTAACCAGAAAAAATATATTGGTTTTACGAACTTTAGGATAATTCCTTCAATAAAAAGAAATCTGAAGTCCAAAGAATACTAAAACTAATTTGAGTGATAAACGTTTTATAGAAAAAAATTCCTGGAGCATTGTATAAAACAATAGATTGCACTTTATTTATCCCGATTGAACAATCATCGGGTATGTTATCAGTTTTAGAATGTTTTGCAGAAGCTTTCAAAATATTAAGATAATCAGGATCAACATATCAATACCTTAACCTTTAAATTAAAGATTCTTTGACACTTCAAACCTTCGGTTTTTACTACGAGGTTCAAAAGAAAAAAATGACTAATTCTAAGGATTAAGAAATGGTTAGGAAGTCGATGTATTCAAGAGTTAAAATAAACAAGTCAGTCAGTCACAAAGTAGAACTTCGTAAGTACGTACATCAGTTCGAGTTGCCATACATTCAAACCTGGATTATAGCATAATTAAATAATAAAAGATTATTAGTTGTTTTTTTCTTTCAAGATGAAGTTATCCTAAAGTTTTGAATAGTGAGTAGAATAGATAAAATATAATGCACACAGTGAACCGCACTTTTGTGGACATGAGTAATAGTAGATTTCGATAATAAAGCTAAGCTGTAAAGTCGAGCAACCAAATTAAGACATTGCGTTAACTGATGAAATCATTGATTATTAAAATATAGACCGTATCGACAGAAGAAACAGACTCTCTAGTAAAAAATTCGCACAAGAATCGATGTAAGTGATTGTGAGACTGTTAGGTGACATGATGAGTAAATGTATTGTTCGTTATTTTTAGTATAAGAGGATTTGTGAAGATAGTAGAATTTTTATTACTTTTATCAGGAACTGATCTTAGATAAACCACCATTGAAAACTTGGACGTTATGGACAACCGTTTCGTTCTAGCTTCAGACATCTCAGTTCCAGTGAGCACCAACGAACCTGCATCCTTAAATCGAACCAATGAAGATGTTGAGTGCTGTTAAAAGTATGAGGGCGGTTATAACCTCCCAGTTGTCAACACCGTGGAAGGGTTCTTCGAGAGGTACCTAAAAACGAAATTAGGTTAGAAGTGGTCTTAGTGACCTAAGAGCGTGACCGCAGTGTCCAAGGGACAACTGCTTGAGGTCGGTGACACACGACGTTTTTGTGAGTAATTTTTGTGTTAGCTTCGTACTTGTTGGGACCTTACCGCCGGAGACGGATATCCGAGAGATAAGGCGAGGTGTGCATTTTTAGGGCCGACCTTTTCTAACCCCAACTCCGCCTGCAGCTCTTCTAGAGTTACTGCCGGTCCCAAGCCCGGGTAAAGGAGGAGGGTTGGGCATGGGGTTAGCGACCCCATCCCATAGAAAAGCTAACTCGCTAGAAAAAACGCTAACCAGAAAAAATAATTCAAACCATTTAAACTCTGCCCTCCAAGTTGAAGGAATAATGACGTCTCATGATGAAAGCTGAAATTCTTCGGAAGTCACCAGACCGATGCACCTTCTAACAACCAGAGCAACACTCTTTATAGGTACATGGAACGTCCGGACAATGTGGGAGACAGGAAAGACCAGCCAAATAGCAATGGAAATGAGAAGATACAAATTGGCAGTACTCGGAATCAGCGAAACCCATTGGACACAAACTGGACAACAAAGGCTAGGTACAGGAGAGATGCTGCTGTACTCCGGTCACGAAGGGGAAAATGCTCCACACACTCAGGGAGTTGCTCTAATGCTGTCCATAGATGCACAAAATGCACTTGTGGGATGGGAATCTCATGGACCCAGGATAATCAAAGCATCATTCAGAACAAAGAAGCAAGGGATCACAATGAACGTTATCCAATGTTATGCACCCACCAATGATAGCAACGACGATAATAAAGATCAGTTCTATGAAAGGCTGCAATCAATTGTAGAGAAGTGCTCAAGAAAGGACCTCACCATCCTGATGGGAGATCTAAATGCTAAAGTTGGAGTGGACAACACAGGATATGAAGATGTAATTGGACGACATGGACTAGGAGAGAGAAATGAAAATGGGGAGAGACTTGCAAACCTATGTGCTTTCAACAAATTGGTTATAGGCGGCACAATATTCCCACACAAGCGCATACACAAAGCTACATGGATCTCACCGGACCATACCACAGAGAACCAGATAGATCACATCTGTATCAACAAAAAATTCCAAAGATCAATGGAAGATGTAAGAACCCGGAGAGGAGCTGACATAGCTTCAGATCACCACCTGGTTGTGGCCAAGATGAGACTGAAGCTGAAGAAACACTGAAGAACTGAGCAAACAACACTACAAAGGTTCAATACAGCCCTCCTTCGAGATATTGAAAAGCTCAATGAATTTAAGATAACTCTCAACAACAGGTTCCAGGCTCTGCAGGATCTACTGAAAGAACAAGAAACTACTTTGGAGGACAACTGGAAAGGGATAAAAGAAGCACTAACTTCAACGTTTCAGGAGGTTCTTGGTCCTAAGAAGCATCATCACAAGGAATGGATCTCTCTGGGAACCCTGGACAAAATTCAAGAAAGGAAGAACAAGAAACTAGCAATTAACAACAGCTGAACACGAGTAGAGAAAGTCAAAGCACAAGCAGACTATGCAGAAGCAAACAAGCAAGTGAAGAAAAGCATTAAAGCCGACAAGCAGAAATACATGGGAGAACTAGCAACGACGGCGGAAAAAGCTGCAAGAGAAGGGAATATGAAACAACTATATGATACAACGAAGAAATTGGCAAGGAGATATAGCAAACCAGAGAGACCAGTCAAGGACAAAGAAGGAAAGACAATCACTGAGATTCAAGAACAGAAGAAAAGATGGGCAGAATACTTCGAGGAACTGCTGAATAGACCAGCCCCATTGAATCCACCGAACATCGAAGCAGCCCACACAGAAATTCCAACAGATGTCACTCCACCAACGATCGAAGAAGTCAAGATGGCCATCAGACAAATCAAAAGTGGGAAGGCGACAGGACCTGACAATATACCAGCAGAAGCACTGAAGTCAGACATTGAAATAACTGCAAACATGCTTCACCTTCTATTCAAAAAGATTTGGGAAGAGGAACAAGTGCCAACGGACTGGAAAGAAGGATATCTCATCAAGATACCAAAGAAAGGAGATCTGAGCCAATGTGAGAACTACAGAGGTATCAGTTTGTTATCAGTACCAGGAAAAGTTTTCAACAGAGTGCTGCTGAATCGGATGAAAGACGCAGTAGACGCCGAACTTAGGGATCATCAGGCTGGATTCCGTAAGGATCGGTCGTGCACAGACCAGATTGCGACACTACGGATCATCGTTGAACAATCAGTTGAGTGGAACTCATCACTATACGTCAACTTTATTGACTACGAGAAGGCGTTTGACAGCGTGGACAGGAGAACATTATGGAAACTTCTTCGACACTATGGAGTTCCTCAGAAGATCGTCAACATTATCCAAAACTCATACGATGGATTACAGTGCAAAGTGGTGCATGGAGGACAGCTGACAGGTGCATTTCCAGTAAGGACCGGAGTCAGACAAGGCTGTCTACTCTCCCCATTCCTCTTCCTTCTAGTGATTGACTGGATTATGAAGAATTCGACATCTGAAGGGAAATACGGAATACAATGGACTTCTCAGAATCAATTAGATGATTTAGACTTCGCAGATGACCTAGCCCTCCTCTCTCATACACACGACCAAATGCAGATGAAGACAGCAAATGTAGCAACAGCCTCCGCATCGATAGGTCTCCACATTCACAAAGGAAAAAGCAAGATTCTCAAATGCAACACGGAGAACACCAACCAAACCAATAACACTTGATGGCGAAGCTCTGGAAGAGGTGGAAACATTCAAGTACCTGGGGAGCATCGTTGATAAACAAGGAGGATCGGATGCAGATGTAAAGTCGAGGATTGGCAAAGCAAGGGCAGCATTCCCACAATTGAAGAACATATGGAACTCAAAACAACTCTCAACCAATTTCAAGGTGAGAATCTTTACTACGAACGTCAAGACAGTCAGTTATACTGTATAGAGCTGAAACGTGGAGAACTACTACGGCCATCATCAGGAAGGTACAAGTATTTATAAACAGTTGTCTACGCAAAATACTCAACATCCACTGGCCGGATACTATCAGCAACAGCGTTTTATGGGAGAGGACAAACCAGCTTCCAGCTGAAGAAGAAATAAGGAAAAGACGTTGGAAGTGGATCGGACACACATTAAGGAAATCACCAATGTGCATCACGACTCAATCCCTAACTTGGAATCCGGAAGGGAAGCGGAAAAGAGGAAGGCCAAAGAACACACTACGCCGGGAAATAGAAGCCGATATGAAAAGGCTGAATAATAACTGGAAAGAACTGGAAAGGAAGGCTCAGGACAGAGTTGGATGGAGAATGCTGGTGAGCGGCCTATGCTACTCGACGAGGGGTAACAGGCGCAAGTAAGTAAGTAAGTTTTCTAACCCCACCCCTCCTTGTGGGGAGGCAGCATCACTGTTATGCTGGTTGTC